GAGGCTGTTTTCCATCAGGGTGCCGTGCTGCTGGAGAAAACGAGTGCGATCCTTAATAATAACAACGCAACTGTGTTGTGCCGGTTTAGGAGCAGCAGCATCGTGTTTAAATCCCATCTGCGTATTTCTCTCAATTCTTCCTCCTTCTGTGTTTGACAGGTGATACTCTAATAGTTGAAGAGGATACGTCCAAACCCAAGACTGACTCGCCTGTAGTGGCAAAAAGAACGATGCCTAACTCAGTTAGAGAAGCTGTGCCTGTGCTAGCGAGGAGGGTTGTTCCGGCCGATAACTCCTGTCTCTTCACCAGTGTCTACTACGTGGTGGAGGGAGGCGTGTACGACCCGGGCTGCGCTCCAGAGATGCGCAGTCTTATAGCCCAGATAGTAGCAAGTGATCCTGAATCTTACTGTGAGGCAGTTCTAGGGAAGACTAACAGGGAGTATTGTGACTGGCTCAGAAAAGAAGAGACTTGGGGAGGAGCCATCGAAGTGTCCATTTTATCCAAATTTTACCAGTGCGAAATCTGTGTGGTGGACACACAGACAGTCAGAATCGACCGTTTTGGGGAAGATGCCGGTTACACTAAGCGGGTCCTTTTAATTTATGATGGGATTCATTACGATCCACTTGAGCGTAAAATCCCCGACTCAGACATTCCTCCCCAGACCATTTTCTCCACAACTGATGATATTGTTCTTGCACAAGCATTGGAATTGGCAGATGAAGCCAGACGGAAGAGGCAGTTTACCGATGTGAATCACTTTACGCTGAGGTGCATGGTGTGCCAGAAGGGACTAACTGGACAAGTGGAAGCCAGAGAACACGCCAAGGAGACTGGACACACCAACTTTGGAGAAGTGTGACATCTACATGAGGATGGTTACATCGACTACCTCACCGATCCAGAATAAAATTCTGGATTTCCAGATAAGCTGTATGTAATCATAAAATTCCGTTCACAAAGCTTGAAAAGCGTATTAACTTAACAATGGCCAAGACGCACAGGTTTGTTATGGTTAGTGACTTTTCCAACTGATTTGAAATAGGTATCTTCTCGCATGCTAATTTATAGTACTTTGGCAGGTGGTATACCCTGGCAGCTAAAACTTGATTTTTGAAATAATCTTCTCTGTGTGTATGTGATCTGAGCAGACATAGAAAATCAGGCTTGTTCAACACTAGTGTAAAATCTAGCCTCCGAGTTGCTGAATTAATCTCTCTGCGTTATGTTTTCAGGGTAATTAAATTAGTCTAAGGGTTTGGGAAACGCAGGTATCAGCATTACTTATACTAAGGATTAGACGCTGCACGTACAAGCAGTTCTTGCAGGGGAAACTGCTCATTTGGTGCATAATTTTTAAAGGAAAGAGTATCTCCAAAGCTGCCCAATACGATGGTACCATCGGAAGTAGACTGTATTGTTTGTGTGAAGTCATGGCTTTAGAGAAAGAAACGGCCTTTAAGCTTTAAGATAGCCTTCTTTCAACTAATGAGTAGATGATTAAGTGTTGAATAAACTTATTAATCCTCCGTAGGTAGTTTTTAGTTGCTTGAAAAATAACTATCAACCCCCCGGTGTTTACACTGCATCAAAACTTAGGCATGTTTCTTGAAATACTTTGGATTTTTCTTCATAATAGTATCTGAAATTCTGGCAAGAGGGAAATAGAGTAATTAGAGAAGTGACTTAATTTGCATCTGTTAAATACATTTAAGCAGACTTTACTTGGGTATAGCCGATCTCATGGCCACAGTGTTACTAAGCCGTACCAGATTCCAAATACTGTAAATTAGCACTTTAAGGTATAGTTCTCACTCTTTGCCAGTAAGAAGTTTTGCCCTTTTTAGCTAAAAAGGACAGAGTGCTAACCCAGAAGGGAGGCTTGAAGTTTCTTCATCTGCATTCTGCCTTAATGCTTGATTTGTCACCGATGACTGTTCAGTAGCAGGACTTTAATTCTGATAATGAAGGGTGCAGTTTAATTTTCAGAACAAAATAAGCTGTGTAAACTGCCCTACTTCTCATACTGTTCAGGATCAGGGAAGTTGAAATTGGTTTAATGTATCTTACCTCACAGCGGGATTGTGAGGCTTAACAGTAAGTGCTTTTGAGGTCTTTTAAAAGGTGCTGTAAAGGTGCATATTACTGAAAGGGATTTTTTTTTCTTTGAAATGCCTGCAACACATACTTGTTTTACTGAATTCTAAAATATTCTTAGCCTGCTATTCATCTGTTACTCTGTTTTGAGTTACCTTCCTTGCACTATTACAAGTGGGGAGCAAGAACGTGCATCTTTGGACTGAGGCAGAAATAAACCCACTTTCCAAGTGGAACATAAGATCTCGTTTTAAAGGCCTCCATTCGTTCCAGCATATGGCCAAACTCCTCGTGCAGCAAAAACTTCTTTTCTATAAAAAGCACATTTCACTGAAGTTCTCAGCAGAGCCTCCCAGTTGGACCTTGAAATATCGAGGGTCTTATTGAAGAAAGAACGTAATTACTTAAGTGCTTTGCTGAATTGAGGCATGAATGATTCAGTATAAAGAATAGAGTCACTGAGAGCACTATGGACTAGGTTTCTTTTTAATTCAGTATTAAAATACACATTAGCACTGTTGGGAGTTTCCTATAGAAAGCCACTTAGCTTCCACTGTTAAACCCCACTTTGCTTTTAGCCTATCATTAGGAAAAACAAAAACAAACAAAAAGAATCCCCAAAAACCAAACCCCAACATTAAAACTAGCCCTCTAGAAGCTGATGCTTATAAACCTAAAGAAATACCTGACAGTTCAAAGGAACTTGAAGATTACACTGTGTTACAACTACTTGAGATGAAATACTGTCTAGGAGTGAGACCAAGAGACTGTTGTATTCTCAGCTTTCACACTGCAGCGGTGAGATGCCTTGGACAAGGAGCTGATCCTCACCATTTGCCATCTGTAAAATGGACGTAATACCTACCTCAGAGAGGTGTACAAGGTGACTGTCTTTGGGTGTCTTTGAAACAGAGGTGCAAGATGCATATTTATTGTTTGCCATGTTTGCAAATGCATTGACTTTGGGGAGTAACACTTAGATTTTAGCTTTGTATCCTGGATGGATTTCTGAAAGCGTGTTTAATACTTTTTTGGTATTTCTTAGTTGCAGTATTTTAAAAATTAGCTTTATTTAATCCAGAGTGTTTAGCTTTGCTATGTCATGTTTGCATTCGAAGTCTGCTAACAGAGAATCAGTTCCATTTGAGGGAAATGTGTCAGTATCACTGCTTGGATGTTTTCTTTTGTTGCCTAGAAAATAAAATCTCTTTGGTTAAAAAATGTCAACTGAACTGCTGCAATTCATCTTTGTAAAAGTTGGTACTGTTACATGCTGACAAACTCTGTCAAAGAAGAAGTAGCCTGTAGTATTGACCGTGAGTTGGAAAAGCTTATGTGATTCTCCTAAACTCTCCCAAACAGAAGGTATCTACATTATTTAAAATGTAAGATATGGATACATTTAAAGTACCACTCCCTTTTTTCTAAATATTGTAAATGTTAGGGTGTTTGCCTGCCCTTAACGATAGAGTTACGGAAGTATCACAAAAATGGCATCCTGGTACTAGTAAGATGAACTTCTGCACATCAGTAATACATTTGCACTGAACTGTTTTTAATTATACAACAAGATGTTAGTTACAGATACTTTAGACTAGAGGTGTTGTGGGACATAGGCCCGGTACTGGCAGGGAATCCAGAACGTCCCTAAGATAGGGGCTTATGTCCTTACCATTGCTCTTATTCCCATTCCCACTTAAAATGAGCACTCCTTTACTTGCTGAATACTTCAGCACAGAGGTCAGTAACTAAATGGGCCCTGGAAGCTGAAATTGTTGCCTCGAAGGTGTGCTTACTAAAAGCTGGGTTATCAGTATTGTTTTACCAATCTCTGCAGTTCTGGATCTTCATTTAAATAAAGAATTCTGGTTTCCTGGTGCCAGTCTGGCCATTTCACCAGCACTAAATTCCTTCTTTAATTAAGAAGAGCCTAACACACTCTAATCATGTGGCCTTTCACAAACATGTTATATTGTATGAAGAAATACACGTCTGTGGTTATAAGAGCACTTTAAAAGCTTGTCCAAGTTTACACGTTGAGCAGATGTTGAGCAAGGACTTTCACCGATGTAGGCAGCGTGTGTTCCCATTGCAGTAAAACGAGTGGCGTTAGCAAATGTTTCTAAAAGTCTTAGTTACCAATGTGATTTGGTGGTATTGCATTCCGTTTCGTGTATCATCAGTACAGACCAGTTGGTATAACATATTTCCTTAAACACATGCCTTGAATTGCAAAAATTGTTGATGCACCAATAAACGTGACTGATGCATGCGTACTTGTTTAGTGTAGTCTGTGCCCCGGTTCTTGAATTTCAGGTTTGGGCTCTGTTGGCTGTGGCTCCCCAGTGCATTTTCGAGGTCTTCACGCCTATGCAATGCAGCCTTTGAGCAGTTTACATCAGCTTTCCCTCTGTCTCATTCCCTTTTTAGCTTGACTCTAAGAGACAATCACAGCAAGAGAGGGACGTGGCCTCGCAATCTGTTCAGGATGAAGCTTCTTCACTTGCAACTTGTTCAACAATAATTTTAAATAGTAAAATATTTTCTCTGTGTAATTAGAGTTAGGTATGAAGAGGAACAACTGTAAAGTGAGTTTTACCTACCCCCAGAATCTTTTATGCATTTAAATACATAAATCATTAAGTAGGCAGATTTGGGTTCAGTAGCATACATATCTACTTCATGGATGCAATTGCCTGAAAGACCAGTCTCGGGAGTAGCTCAGTAATATTCTGAAGGACAAAACTTCATTCCTTACTTCTGGATAAACTTACGTAAAAAGAGCAATTGCTGGGGAGAGGACTGAGAGAAGGAACATCTTGTTACACGGTACAGAATCGGTATCTTAAATCTGCACCTTTTCATGTGCAATGTCATGGCAGAGGCCATTTGTGACAGTTTGGGAACAGTGGCTCCCGTACCCATCCTGCTTTTTCTAGAGACCTGTTCAAGCATATTACAGTGCTACAGTCGTGATCTGCCCTGGGGCAACAAAGCCACTGTGAAACCACGCTGGCAACACGGGAACACCGCGTTCATTTTTGTAAACATTTCTGACCTAAGCAGCGTTATCTATTTGCCCTTCTCGACTTTTGAGGAAGCAAGAGTGAGGGGACAGGCACGAATGAAGAAAATGCGGAATTTCTCTGCTGACTGCCTTAAACACAGAAATCCACGTATCGATGGAGTTTTTGAGACACCAGACTGACACACCCCTGCTGAAGCATCTGCGCTGGGCAGATTTCGCTGCCCGCAGCGCAGGCAGCTCCCGAGGGCGGCTCTGGCTCCTGCCCTGCACGAACCCACCCGTGGGTAAGCCAGCCCTGCAAAGCTCTCCCTGGCAGGGAAACTCTAATAAGAGGAACAAAAAGTTCTCAGCTTGCTATTTTGAAAATTACAACTCTTTATCATACAAATTAAATGTCTGCCTGCATTTTGAATCAAACTATGCATCCAGCTGTAAAATTGCCATCAGGTTTTGCTCTGCTCTGGGCTGGGCAGAATAAAATTACTTCAAATCAGCTGAAATCAATATTGCTCTTTCACTCCTCTGAGTCTGAGCACCAGAATGTTTTCTGTAACAAAAGAATCCAATAGGGGACTTTTAACAAAATTAGGTTGTCCAAGATTGCAGTGTCCTTATCCATTATTTTAAATTAAAGCCTTGGGTAAAATGTTGGGGAACTGTATTATACCTTGAGAGCTGACTCCTCATTTCTAATGCTGAGTTAATGCCAACCAAGCTATGGAAACGGATCCCCTCGGTTCTCTACCACTTTTCTGTAAAACAGGGATAATAAATAGGGTTCCTTGCTCAGTTCGCAGCCATATTAAGATTTAATAATTTCTCTAAACTGCTGTGTAATACTAGGTATTAACTACCTAGCATTTTTCATAACTGATTTGTCAGCATACATGCTGCACATACAATTTGGTCTAAGGAAAGTGTCCAACAGCCCTACAGAGTCAAAGAAACGTCGTGATGTTAACGGGTATCTTATCGGTGACGCCATATGGATGCATTTCCTTCAGGGCCAGGCCTGAATCATTCGTGTTCGTTTGTTTACGAACAGGGTGAGGCACAACGTGTCTGTTAACATGCCAAAGTCCTTTCACAGCATTGTGTAGTTTTCTCTGCATCATTTGACTACTCGCATATACTTCATGCCGTATATATGAAATCACATTTTATTTTGGGTTGTAGCTATTTATATTCGTTGGAGGAAGAGGAATGTGGAAAAAGAACAGGTTCTTTCTGGGCATCTGATTCAGAGAAGCTCGAGACTTCTCTTAATGGATCATGACATTTTCCTGACCTGCGCGGAGCCCTGCCGGCAGCGAGCTCTGCCTGTTTTACTGCCCAGGTTTAAGTCCCTGTGCTATCAGCACGGTGCTCTCAGGACACACTTGCCCTGTCCCGGAGTGGTTGCTCATTCACACTCTGTTTGCACCTACAATAACAAAATAGCTCTGGGTTTGATTTACTCCCTCTCTTAAAGCAGGCTCAGAACTAAGGGCAACTTGACAAAACCAGCACGAATCTGACTGTGGGAATCGCTGCACCGTCCAGCACAGCACCAGGTAACGCTTCCCGAAGTGCTTGCTCCGAGTCCTGCTCTCGGCTCTGCGATCGCCGGCTGTCGCGATGCTCAGGCTGGGGCTGCCGCCCCGATCGTGCCACGTTCGCATCCCTTACCTCTGCCGCAGGCCCGCGTGGGGAAGCTTGGCTCTGCCTTGTGGAGCTGCTCTTCAGCACACACGGCCCCTTTCGTAACAGTGCTCAGCTGGGGGGAACCTCTGTGCCTCCTGGCTCATCTGCTTTCTCTCCATCTGACCATGGCCTTAATTAACTGGTGTTTTCACTTCCCTGTTCTCAGTAGCAGGGAACACACGTTGCAACACAGCCTTTTCTAAGAGTAAAAAAAAAACCAAAAAAAAACCCCAAAAAACATTGAAGCATGAAAACTTGAATGGATCTGGTGGCTGTATCAGTTCTGGAAGCTTGCTGCAGGGTTTCTGCTTGGATATTTATAGTTATTCAGTGAGGAGCACCTTGCAGAGCAGATACAAGTCTATGCTGGGGGGGGAGCAATGGCCTAAAGCAGTGTTTATCAGAGAGAAAAGCTGTAATTTTAATAGGAGAGCCCAAAGTTGGGGTCTGAGCCACTGCAGTGCTTTTAGCTGCTTCTGCTGCACCCCCCGGGCAGATCGGGTGGTGGGGGTCAGCATCACCCAGTGCTGCACTGGGGCTGCAGATGGAGTAACTGGGCTCTTCCTTACCTTCCCCCCGGAGAGAGGCGGCAGAGGAGGTACCGTCATCCTCCAAGGAGGGGATGCTGCCGTAGGAAATGCCCCGGCAGCAGTTTCCGAGGTGTCGGTGTGAGTGAGGAGGGTGGCTGAGGGGAAGAGGAGCGTGATGGGTGTCTTGGGGACTTTAGCTTTACCCAGGCTGTGGGACTTCACCTCAAGCTGCCTAGTGAAAGAGTTCCCAGCGTTAGAGAGACAGGGAGTGAACCTGCAGAGGGGCTCCACGCCTGCAGGGAAAGATGCCGGGGGGGGTGAAGGGGTAGCTGCGAGTCGGCAGCTGGTCCGTGCATGCAGAAGGAGCCCCAGAGCTGCGCATGGCCTGGGCACCCCCTCCTCTAGCACGTAAATAAAGCTTAGTGCTGAAGCTTCCCTTCTAAAACAGCTTTCTAGCCGTCTTTACAAGAATCTCCTTACAGCATACAGCAAACCTTTGGTCTCTGGGAAAGCTTTGGTGATATGCAAGTATGTACCTGCTCTAGCCACAACCAGTGTTCTTAGAGCCGAGAAGGAACCGGGTCCTACCCTGAGCTGAGGGACCTCCTGCACAAAACCACCTAAGAGAATAAACCTGTTGGGCGTTCAGCAGCACCCGGCGCAAACGCCCAGCAAAGGACTTAATTACTACGTACAAAGGCGCTTGGGTCAGGGCTCTGCGTTCGGCTCCTCCGAATGTCAGCGAGCAGCTATGCGGCAGAACAGGACGTCGGATTAAGGAGTTTCCAGCGAAACCCGTGCCGAGGACATCAGAGGACAACGCCAGCGGGAGTCGGGAAGTGAGTGAGCTGGGTGGTACCAGCGGGGCTGCCCGCAGACTCCCGGGCCCCGGGGCTGCCGTCTGCCGCTGCCTGCGCTGGTGGAGGGCAAAGCTGCTCTGGCAGGGCTGGGAGAGAGCACGGCGGGCAGGGACCTGGCTGCTCCGGGTCAGAACACGAAGGTGGTTTAGGGGCTCGGCTGTGCCGTGACCCCAAGGCAGTAGGAAAGCTGCCTTGGCTGGGTGCAGCATGAATTTATCTTGCCCCGGTGCAAGGTGAGGGGCCGGGGGCTCGTCTGCAAGCACCCGCGCAGCCTTATCTCCGCTGGGGCGGCGAGTTAATGTGTAACCTGGCTCTGTTTGGTTAGCCCAGAAAAGCAAAGAAGTCCTGGGATAGGCACAGCTGGGACAAGGATTTGGACAGCGTGGAACGACAGACGTCCTGGTAAAAAGAGAAAAAAAACTTAATAGTCTGTATTCCTTCTTGCCTTTTGCTTTCTGTCCTTTTTTTGCTGAATGGGCTGCGGGCGAGGGGCTGAGGAGCTCTGCCTGGGTGGGATGCGGGGCTGCGGGTACCTGGAGGGTTACGGACGATGTGCTTTGCTCTGGAAGGGCAAAGGGTGGGGGAGCTGTCACGGGAGGTGGCACCAGCGAAGATGGACGAGGTGGTTTGAAGGTGGTGGCGGGAGGAAAGCTGGGGAGACCAGCAGCTGCCGGCGGAGAGGCTGGGAAAACTTGTGCTCGGGACAGCAAACAGCTCGGGCAACTGCTCCGTGCACTTGATTTACTTGTTTAAATAGGAGGAACTGTAGATCTGCCACCATCCTCTCCTTTCACCCTGGGGTGGGATCCGTCCTGCTGTGCCCCTCCAGAGGAGGAGCAGCCAGGACGGTACCTGCAAACGGTGTTTGGCTTTGTTTTGTGTTTCGCTTTGTTTTATTTTTCACGCTGGTCGGGACAAAGCCCTTTGCCAGCAGCTGCTAAGGCAGAGGGGGGACAGCTGCTGTACCTTAGAGAGCAAAAATACCGAGGTTCTTTGACGATGCTGGAGAGCTGTGATAGAGTGCTTGTAGTAGTACTGGGCTTAAAAGAAAGTAGCCTCTTCATATAAAGCAATTAGCATTAATTGCTACCCAGCACCTCTCTGACATCTGAGGGCTCAGTGAGCTTTGTAAAGGACAGTTATGGCAGCTCTCACAAAAGCTGCATGAACTGGTCTTTTATTTTAGATAAAAAAATAGCTGCTTCTAAGAGCATTTTTAGCGGGGGAAGATATTGGTGTACATACCACTGAAAAACAGCTTTTGGAGTACCAGTTCTTTTAATTGAAGTGCTCAGTCATATTTTTAGTTTGTGGCTGAACTGCTGTGTTATTCAGTGAAAGAAAAGAACTGTAAATTCCTTCTGAATCATAAAGATTGGGATTTTTTTCAACACTGATTTTTCCTCTTTCCCGACTTGGACGAATGTCGCCATAATCACATCCGAGAACTAGCGGGCAGGAAAATGAACTTCTTGTTTCTGCGTAGATCCTCTCCAGCGTCCGATGAGCTCTGGGCTGAACTTTGCCTCCCCATGAGCTGGGGCTCAGCTGGTGCCAAAGCCTTGGCCGCTGCTTTATGTTTCTGCAAACGCTGTTTAGGCAAATTATTTCTTCCAATGGGCTGATGACGGTGGACATCCTCACGGAGAAGTGACCTCTGTCGAGAGCCCCAGTTACAGCCGGGCCACGCTGCTCTCCCTCGCCCGGGGGCTGCCTTGCACAGTGGGCGCTGGCTCCGACCAGCAGCTCCAGCCGCAGGCATCAAGTTTGAGCAAGGCTTTTGCTTCCCCAGCCGTGTTTTGCTGTCTTGAATTCGCGTGCTAGCGAGGAGCATTGCAGCAGTCCCAATCAAGCAGGCAGTAACCTCTCGCTGCTTAGAAGTAGATTCATATTTCACCTTGCACACCAAAACCATGGGGCTTGCAGAAGCGTAAAAACCCCCAAACTCAGCTGGTGTCTCTGCTTCCCGATAGCTAAAGGCTCGGGCTACGAAGGTGTCCAAATCCAAAGAATCAAGGGTATTGCTGTTCCAAAGCCATCGCTTACTGAAATTTAATTTAAGCAGTAAATAATGCAAAGCTGAGACTGAAATACTAGACTCCTCCTGCATGGAAGGACTAGATCTGTCAGGGCGTGGGTGTTGAAATCTGATTTTTGTGGCATATCCCAATTACAAAGGAATTCTTTCAGGGTCTAACACTCCGAACAAGCAACCAGTTCTGCTCACTTATCGCTAGATCTAATTCCCTGATCCTGCTACAACAACAAAAAAAAGCAGCACTGTGTTCTTGCGTACCACAGCCAGGTTACAGCACAAAGAGCTCCTCTGTCTTCTGACGGGCAAATCCTGTTGCGTGGGTCCGTGTGTGTTGGAGGGGGTGTTTGTTTTGCCGCTCTCGTTAGCCTCCACAGCCCAGTTCTCCTCTCTCAAAGCACGGGCGATGCACTGAAAGAAAACACATAATTGGTGGTCTCACCAAATTTTGGAAGCTGAATGCTTTCCATCCATAAGTAATTATGCCTTTTGTAGGCTGCTCAGCCTCTCCCCGCAGGCAGCAGAGCTCTCGTGGCCACGCACCCCGCAAGAATAACCATCCCCTCCACCGCCCGGGTCGGTCTCGCTGCCTGGAGCCCCGACGGTCCGTTGTTTGTCAGGCGGCCGCTGTCGGGTTCGAGTCCCACCAGTGCCGGGGATACGGGCTCCATCCAGAAGAGCAGCAGGGGCGCGATGCCGCGAGCAGAGGGGGACATTGGGGTGCTGCTTGCAACACCCCGGGGTGGCTGGAGACACAGGACATGGCTGCAGGCTGGGCTATGCCCAAACACACCCAGGCGTGCCCCAAAGGTACGGGGCACCTCCCGCAGCCACGACACCTCCGAGGCCCCCGAGGAAGGGTGGCAGAGGAAGCTCTTTGCCAGGAGGAAACTCCCGGCGGAGCAAGGCTGTGACTAAACGGCAGGATTTCGGGTCAGCGCGTTCAGAAGTTGGAGGGCACTTCAGCTGCAAAGCCGGCAGCGCTGGGTGCGGTGGAGGGGAGAGGTCCCGCGAGTCGGAGCTGGGCTGGGGCTTGCGTTGGGACGGGATTGCTGCTGCCGAACTCCGAGGCTGAGCTGGGCTTACGGCTTTTTCCTTCTTTCGGGAGCCACCTTATCCACACCTCTAAGATGAGATGACCTCCAACATAAGATGCCCATGGATGGGCAGTCCAGAGCTTACCCTATTTCCAATTCTTTTGGGGAGAACTTCAGTTCCAAGGATGCTTTAAAAAAAGGCCAGCTGCCCCTTCCCCTGCAGAGAGCAGCCTAAGATGGAGCACGTGTGCATCCCTCCAGCAGCTTCACACCCCGCCTGCCCTCCCTCCGGCTGAGCCAGCCAGCTTGCATCGCCCTGGGGGGAGGTCTCGCAGCTTAATGCCTCTCCTTTCTTCTGCTTCAGCTGGGATATTGCCCCCCACGCCGGACGACACAGCAGCCTGTGATATGCCTAGAAAGGAGCTGGGGATGGCTGGCTGCAACTCTGGCAGCTGCGACAGCATGGTCAGCACGGCCTCCAACCACTCGCAGTGTGTAAGTAACCCCGTCGTGCCCAGCTCAGGCATGGCAAGGGCTCAACTCACCCCTCTCGGTGGCTGAGGAAAGATTTCGGTTGGATCTCTGCTTGAAACCGCTCTCCATCGGTGCTTTGGAAGCACCTGGGGGCCCCAAGACAGCACCACGCTAAGGGCAGCACAAGGACCAAATTAATTCTTGCCCCAAAGCACTCCCAGACTTTCAGCCCTGCCACGTGCGTGGCAGCAGTCAGGAGCCTTCGCTCCTGCAAGGTGTCCTCTGGGAAATGGTACCGAGAGCCCAGCGGCTCCTCTGTTGCCCAAAGATGGGGAGGCAGACGGTGCTGGCACTGGGCAGGAGGAGCCTGGCGAGTTCCCCAGCGAGAGATTAGACCAGTTGGGTAACTGGGTCAGACTGGCTCCAACAAGGGTGACTTCACCTGGAAAAGACAGCAAGCCGTACCCCTCCTGGCTGATGAGATTAATTTCTTAGTTAAGGTAGAGATGAGTTCGGACCATGGGTGTAGATGTGTAATTTTTCACTATCTGCCCATTAAAGCTTGTTTGTCTCCAAACACTGATTCCAAGATTGATGGACTAATTACATCCTGTCTCACTTGGAGCATAATTGATACGTGTAAGTGCAATGCTCAATCCTGAACAGGTTTTCCATTTGGTGTATTGCAAACCAGAACCAAACCCTCTGAAATTTATTAGGGATGGAAGAACTGGTTGCAATATTGCATGGTAGAAGATTTGGATAGGTGTCTCTGCAAAACAACTCCACCTGGGACAATTTCTCCTCCATGCTTGTTGATCTGATGCACACGCCATCCTTTCCTGCACTTTTTTTTTTCATGATATATGGCTTGTATTACCTTGTAACTTGGCACTTCCACAGCCATGGTATCTCATGATACTTGAAATACAACAAAAATTAAACAGAATCTTGCTGAGGTATGAACGGGAGAACCAGGAGAGGGACCACCACCCGCAGATAAGCCTTCAGTATCTATGATGTTTAGGCAAGCTTCTAAGATTCAGCCTTGCTGAGCAGTACAGGTGTCTGTACCTATAGACCACCCACGTTACCCATCTGCTCGTATTTAAAAGTAAACTAACAAACTAAAAAGCAGAGACCAAGTTTCCAAGTCAAGAATAACCCATCTTCTGATGCTCATAGTAGGGTAATATAAAAATGGCCTTAAGTATATATAGATTTTTAGAGGAAGTTGTCTGGTTTTCTGTAGCTCTAAGTACCAATTTCTGAATAGCCACTGGCCAAGTCTCCTGGCCAGGGGCTGTCACAGGTCTCCTCTTAACAACCAGGGCTGTGAATAATAATAATAATATACCCTGTCTCTTACCTGTACTGCTTTTTTTTCTTTTTTTCAGAGTGATAACAGTTATGACTACTTATCTGTGGAAGAGAAAGAATGTTTGATGTTCTTAGAAGAAACCATTGGCTCACTGGATGCAGAAGCAGACAGCGGGGTCTCTACCGATGAGACCGACTACGTGGAGCCCTCCAAGCTGCCCGGGAGGTGGCCGAAGAGAGACTCCATCGCCCGGGGTAAGCTGGAAACCCTGCTCCAGCCCTTTGCCTGCAAAGGGACTTTCTTGCTGGGGAGCGTTCCCTTGGCAGGCAGGGAAGGAGCATTGCCCCAGTTTTGTGCAGTGATAAGCTAAAGCCAGCTTGTTCTCATCACCCCGCGGTGGCTGTAGGCAGTGAGATAGGCAGGGCACCAACTGCATTTCCCAGTTCTCACTTGCAGGGACTGCTAGCAGCTGGCGAGCAAGGTCAGCAGAACCGCTGGGCAGAGCATCTTTGCTCATGCTCCAAACAGGCTTACACAGATCGACAAGGCTCCTCGTTCACCGGGTGCTTTGTCAAATCCAGAGTATCTGACTGTCTTAGCAGTGAGAGCGCTGGAGCTGGGATAAACTCTCTGGGCACGAGTACTCTGCCACGGCTGCGCTGGCTTAGCAGGGGTGAAGAAGTGTGTTTTGCAAACAGAAAGGGGTCCTGTGCCCGTGGGCAGAACGGTGCGTGACTTCATCTCTCTTTGCCTAGATTTGGAAAATGGGGCTCCCCCTCTGAGTGTAGGTCAGGAGCGTGCGGCTGAACACAAGAATGATAAGAGAATCTCTGCCTTCTCAAGCTCGGCTCCAGCAGCAGCTCCAAGCCCAGGCTATTACAGTCTTCCAAGGAGAATCACAGTAGCAAACGGAGCTTCTGACAGCAAAGCAACTGTCTGCATAGTGGAGGACCCAGTGCCAGTAGATAAATCTTCACAGGAGATAGCCAAAGAGGACAGGCTTGACCAACCCAACATGAGAAGCCAGACAAAGTCCCTGGGGTCTTTGATTATCCAACCTCCAGATCCCTTCCAGGATGACCTGGTGAGCCACGAGTGGTCACGTAGCAATCGATCAGATCCTGAGAGGGAAACAGCCAAGGAGACCAAGACTTGGACTTCATGGGGCCAGCCAGAGAAATCCACATTGGAAGAGGCCTCTCAAGACCTCAATGCCAAGCGCGGGCCTCCAACTGCCCCCAAACCACGAAAATTGCCACCAAATATTATCCTGAAAACCAGCAAAATCAGCCCAGTGCCACTCGCTACGGAGCCCGGCCAGAAGGTAAAAGCACTGCCTCTGT